CGGGGGGGGGGAATGGCGGAGGGGGCCGGGAGCCCAAGAGGCCAGCCGGCGCGGCTGGCCGCCGGCTGGGTAACGGGCGATCTGCCGGGCGCGTTTGCCACGCATCCTTCGCATTCCTCGCCGAGCAGGCTCGCCTTCCGACAGACGCAGTTGTTCCTCTCGGCCGTACGGAGGGGCTCGGCTGGTGCGAGGGGTTTGGGAGCGGGGAGCTGCTCGGTGTGGGTGTCAGTAAGAGTTTCTGCAAGCGCCGAAGGGCTCGGAGATCGCTTTTGCCCAGATAATCTGTATTAATTCATCACTTTGCCCAGATAATCTGTATTAATTCATCGGCTCTCCCCGTTTTGGTGTCAGAGTTCTGGTTTGTGACCCTGGAACCGGCGTCGTGCTGCTCCGGCGTCCCTGTCACAACGCGAGCTCCTAAATTCCCCTTCTCTCGCTCTCCCGTAGGCGCGTCCGAACCACCATGACCGTCCCTCGGCTCCTCCTGTGCCTCTCCCTCTCCATGCTCTGCATCTCGAGCAAACCCACTGAGAAGAAGGACCGGGTTCACCACGACCCGCAGCTCAGTGACAAGGTCCACGACGACGCCCAGAACTTCGACTACGACCACGACGCTTTCCTTGGCGCCGATGAGGCCAAAACCTTTGATCAGCTCACGCCGGAGGAGAGCAAGGAGAGACTCGGGTAAGGAAAAGAGCCGAAATAAAAAACCTAATTGAGGGAGAACGAATCCGCAGCGGATTTTGCTGGCCGTAAATGTCACCCCGCCACTCACGTATGTTCTCTTGCAGCTCAGGTGGCGGAGGTAGCCTCAGCTAGAGCCTTTTAAATGTCACTTTTGAGGCAGCAGTAGCTGAAGTTTAGTGACCGACACAAATGGTGGTGACAAAGTTATGCAGCACGTGTGCCGCTCTCCTCGCTGGAGGCTGCTCAGCCCGCAAGGTCACCTTGAGTCGTTCTGACCGTGCACGCTTGCTGCTAAGCACCAAATACTCCCCCAAAACTACAAAGTGTAAATGAAAAGAAGCGTCTTTGGTTTTGCCGTACTCGAACCGTGCTAAACGGAGCTTGCTGGTCTCCGGTTACCGCCGGAGTCTGAAGGCCCGGGGGATTACTTGCATTTTCCTGCCACGTTTTTCTTCCCGGTTGAGCAGCAGCTGGTCGCTGCGCAGAGCCACAAGTTAGTGAAAACAGAGAATCTCTTGAAAATTAACGTCTGCTTCGCGGCTTTGCCTCCCCTGCCACCTGCAGACGTCAGAACAGGGTGTTCGCAGGCGACGGTCGGCGCTGGCCCTGGCGATCTCCGCTCCTCAGCACTACAGCGTGTGCCTTTGTGCGCGCGGCAGCAGCTGCCGGCGCAGTTGTTCGCGTTGGGCTTAGAAAGGCTTAAACCTTCGGAGCTTCGGCCCTGACGAGACATTTTTGGAGGCTTTTGAGGGCTGCGCTCCCACCTTCCTCCCGCCTGGCAGCTCCCCGGTGAGCTCGGCCTTGCTCTTGGGACGCTCCTCAAGACGTGGGGCCGAAGGACTGACTCGCGATGATCCACGTTGCCCCTTAACTCCTCAGCTTTGTCTGTTTTGGGGCTCCCTGGTGGGAAGGGCAAGCTTAACCACGTGTAGGCGCTCGGGGAAATGCCACCGGAGCGAGGTTAAACCAGACGGACGCGGCTGGATTTGCAGGGCAGGGTGACGCCGGGCTGGCCCACGCGCTTTAGCGTCCCTACGGACCGTCCAGGTTGCCAGCC